GTGCATAAAAAATGTTGGATTTAACACGGGCAGACAATATCAGAAAAGCACTGATTGGATTTAGTGAGAAATAAATATTTGTGCTGGTTCTATGGAGACCAAGATAAAAACAGAAAATGTGTGCAGCAGTTCCAGCTAAGTGCTACTTCCTTCAGGTAATTTGAGATTTTTTAAAAAATGAACTTGTTCGTTTTGAACTGCTTTCCGGTTGGGGTACATACAATACTGAATATACAAGCAGTGCTGTGCTTCAACTTTACTGAACAGCAAGAGGTTGTTTGTATGAAATGTACCTAACGATTAAACTTGTTCATTGGATTTTATGACAAGAACTGACCATGTCAGTATACATGGTGTCACCCTGGACAAAGACTTTACACTTCATTTCCAGGCCCAGCTGGACCAGTCCTTTCCAAATTCCAAATTATTGATCCTTTTCACTTTTACTAAGCAGTGAACATTATAAAGAATGGTCAGTTGCCCCACATGGTCCTCAAGATACTAGAAATTGTTTTATAGATTTTATTGATCAAGAGTTTTCACAACACATTTACATGATGTTGACTTCATGTCCATGCAAGCTGCCAATACAATCTCTAGGCCCTGTGAACATCTAATCCCAGAGCAATTGGAAACAAAAAAAAATCTCCTAAGTCAGTCATATATGTTCTTTAAAAAAAAAATCAACAAGACATGTTTTATCAACCCAAAGTCACCACAAAATATAAATTCAGTCAGCAAGCCAATTCCTAGAAACCTGCTACTCTAATCGGGTAAAAATATCTTACTAGATGAAGTGAAAAATGCTATGAATTCAAGTTTAGTAACACATTATGACAAATGAACTCCATCTGTTCCTGATCCTAGAGCAAAAAATATAAGGTATCTAGGACAAAATGAGAAAGAATAATGATATTGATTTGATGAAGGTATTTCCACGTAAATGGTAAACTGATGTTAGGAATGGTTATCAAGGACCACAAGCCCAAGCAGCAAGACTTGACTCTTACTTCTAATTGCACTGCAAAAAGTAGAGTACAACAGTAATCTGCACTTTGTCCATTGTTTCAAAGGGATACAGGGGATTACATAGGAGGATGGAGATCGTCATCTTTAATTTTATTTTACGGCACTTGCTATTTTATAACACATCATAGATGTTTTGTCCAAAACATAAAGCTGTAGAAATGATCAATATTGTTCTTGAAGCATAGAATGAATGACTTTATTTTCCCAGAGAATAGTCAATGTCTGAAGTTATTCATCCAGAAAGCTATGGAGGTTAGATCACTGAAAGCATTTAAAGAAGAGTGGATATTTGAAATATCAGGGAATTGAGGGCTATGCTGAGCTGACATAAAACAAGTTGAGGGCTGGGACACATCAGCCATGATCTTGTTGACAGCAGGGCAGGCTTAAGGGACCAAATTACATACTCTGTCTCCTATTTGTTATGTTCTTACATCACTGGTCTAATGAGGAGGGAGACACACAAAAACGCACATTCTGACTTAGACCTGCTGGAAGAGCTGTGAAGTAGACATTAGGTATCCTCGTGAAGCTCTTAACATGGCTGCAGACTTTGTATTCAGACATCTATGTTTGGAGACATAGGCATTATGACAGCTGTCTGATTTCCAGCATCTGTCGCTTGTTGAAATACACTTTATAATGTTGATACATACAATCCTTATATATTCAAAAACCTTAAATAGAAAGTCTTCATAGATATGTGCCTTCAAACATATTATTTACTTCTTACTGATAGGTATTATTATCTTACTTACTGATCAATTGTGTCTTTCCAAGCAAAACAAAAAGTTCTTCATTAAATTTTTGCCTTTAGAATTTCAGCTTATGTGTATGTCATTCAACATTCAGTAGTCATTATAAAATTATCTAGTGAACTTTATTTCATTATGTTTAAATGAAGGCCTTCATCTACCTGTTCTTCCAGTTTCATTGCTGGTCACTGCTTGCCATTTGTTGCTATGGTCACCTGTTTCCAGTTTTTTAATCTGACATTGACTGACTCATTCTATATGCTACCCGCTGCTTATCAGTTACAGTTTGCTATCTTCAGCTGGGTATGCCTGGTAGCTGGTTCATTGTTCATCATTGTGGGTTACTAATTTGCTATTTTACAAGATGCTTGTTTTATGTAGCTAGTACTTATGACTGATCATTAATGCCCATTAAGTGCTGTGGCTGAGAGGCACTGCTGGTTTCTGACTTGCAATAACCACTGCTCATTATTTAATGACCACAGCCAGTGGCTTAGTATTGCTAGTTATTGTTTGCTGCTGATCATCGCTGACTGTGATTCATGCTGCTAATTGGTTGTTGATGCTTTACCTTGGCAACTGGTTTGCTACTAGTGGTTTCTCCCAACTAATGGAATCATAGATCATTACAGTAACAAAAGTTGACAAAAAATGCATTTTATTAATAAAATCAAAATTTATAATTATAGTATCAAAAAATTTCTAAATTAAGTGTTAAGCAACAAATCATTAAAAGGGTTTCATAACAATAAGGCTATTTCAGTAAATGTTCTCAACTTATGCATATTTTCAAGAAGCAGGATATGCTATTTGTGCCTCTCTTAGTTTTAAGGAGTGAATTACTTTGAGACGAATATTTCTTGATACAATGAAAATGGTAACCGAACATTCTCTTATAAAGTTTGTATCCTTTTGAGTTCCATTCGCAATAGGCTAGATTTTATCTACTGCAATGGGAAGCTTGAGTTGGGAGATTTTCAGGCCCATTGCAAGTCCCTGAATGGCAGGTTCTTCACTCCATTAGGTTGGGTGCACAGTTGACTTGGACTTGCTGCCCTCAGAAGCAAATTAGAGGCAACCACTGCAGGTGGGAAGTAGATGAATGCCACAGCAGCCTGGTCAAAATGCTCACCTCAGTTCTCTGGGACTTTGTCCCAGTATTTTGGTTACATTTTTTAGCAATCTGCCCTCCATCCTCACACCCCATTATTCTCCCCACCCTATGCTCAGGCCATCTCCATACCTCCATGCTAACCCAATGGCAATATGCTCACGCCCCTCTCAGTCTCTTCTTGCCCTTTTGCCATCTTATGTCTCTCATCCATCCTCAATGGCCGTTCATATTCTTCATGTCAACGCTCAACCCATCCAACCACATTTGCCCAGTAAACAATAGGTACTGAACAGATGAAGCCTATAGTAATAAAAGCATTTGTGCAATTGCTTAAGAAAAACAAACACTAAAAAAAGGAAACTGTTGTTCCTACAACCATATAAAATTGCCAAACTGACAATTGAAGTGTCAATAACAAAACTGTTAACAACTTTATACTTTTTATTTTTGTGTGAATAAATTTTGAGACATCAACAAAAAGGATCTCAAAAAAAATGTAGGATATTATAAACACATACACAGGTCAATCAAGCAAAAGCAACATTCTCTTCATCTGTGTAAACAGCCTCCTACTCACATAATCCTTCTGTGTGTCTGGACCTCACTACTCGTTTATAGATCCTATTGACCTTCTTGAGAGGTAATTCATGTTCCATTATCAGGATCTTGGAACAACCTATGATATGGTTATTTTGCAGAAATTATAGCTGTTTTTAAGACAAGTTTTCAAACTTACAGATCAGACTAATAAATGAAATACTAATGAGTCATGAAATCAAAAGTATTAACTTGCCTTTTCTCTTTGTGGCTATTGACTGATCGACATGTTTGCAGCATTTTCTCTCATCCAGCATTTCAATTTTTTCCATTTTATTAATATTGCTGTCAGTACTTATGAGTGAAAAGCAGTCACATTGCAAGTTATTATATCATTTTTATTTTATCAATCTGCCCTCCAATTTCTAGAATTGAAAAGAGATCAGCCTAATGTGTTTTTTTTTGTTTGCAATTTTTCATCAAGTTACTGTCACCTTTTCTCCTACTAGTTTGAATCACCATGTCCCATGTTATGAAACATAGGCCTTTATTCTTGTTAGTTTATTATAAATAAAAAGATTTAGGTTTACATGTTCATTTTTACTGAAGTTACCCAATGAGTAACTGAGCCATGCAGATCATTAGGATCCCATATAGAGTTCTTGGTTTGTGCTGAGTGAAATGTTCTCAAGAGGACAAATGTTATGAAAGGTTTAGTAGATCTCAATTTCCTTTGATTATGGTTGGAAAAATTGGCTAAGGGACTCCTGTATGAATAGAATTGGTTCCACATAATTACCCCTGTACTGGGATTGCCATTAACTTTCAGGGTAGTGTTACTAGAAGACAATTTATGTACATGAAACCATATTCCAAGAAAGAGTCAGCACTTTCAGGGATCCAGGAGAGAAAATGGGTGAGAAAAACAATGTTCATGGATTTTGTTTTAGAAAGGAAGTGTGTATGTCAAAAATTCCAATGTGGTTTTGCTGCCGTCCATATAGCGTTACATAAAATGTAAGTATATATTAGTTACCAGACCACAAAAAAAAACAAATGTATAATGCTCTTATTTAAACACCACATAAAAAGAAATGAATTCTTCTTCCTCAGAAAAGAGATTTGTACTCCAAACTGAGTCATTATATATGGTAACTTGTTTAAAGAAAAACATGTAGATTGCTTTGAAAAGAGAAATGTATCCTGGTCAAAAACAAACCTTATGTATTATGCAATGGAGAACAAATATTATTGACGGTGTGAAGTTGCCATTGTTTTACTTTTTAATTTTATAGCTTTTCAGTTGGATGCCTGAAATAACTGCACAGAGGCTAGTATCCCTTTACCAAATTACCCTTGATTTACTTGTGCACAGTACACTGGCTACAGCCAGCTGGCTTAGAATAAGCCCGCCCAAAATGTCAGAGACTCTAAATCCTCTGTTTATATTGGCCAGCCAGGGCTTCTTGATTAGCCCCACATTAACAACCCCAATCAAGGATCTTGTAGTCAACAAGATCCAGCTGGTTTCAATGACCACAATGACCTAAGAGCATGAAGGGAGAAAGAAAGGAGACTTTGCCTGTACATTGTGGTTTTCATTACTTCATAGCTTTTCACAGCTAAAGAGATATTTGCTTCTCTAATTCTCAGGGCTAAGGATTTACTTCATGGGCCATATGCAAATATCACCAGTCTACTTCTTACCCAGGCTGGAAGGGGATACAGATAGGTTGCTGGTAAGGGAAGATTTGGCAAGGCTTTTATGTATCAGTTTGAAGGTAAATGGTGATGGAAGGAGTTTACAAGGGTTAAAACAGAACTCAGATTTGAATATTCCTGAGAATCTCATGTACCATTCAGTTGGTGTATAAGAGGATCCTAGCCAATTCTGATCCTGCCCTTGTCTGTTCGATTAAGTGGGTAGGTTTCAACTCTGGGATATTCAGTCCCATTGACACAACTGACAATTTTTAATGGCATGGGGGAAAGATGTTGGGACTGTGTACACATGCAGCAGACCAAACATTACTAGCTACATTGCACGGGAGAGCATTTCAGGGCCCCTGCAGTTTTGATGAAGACCAGCCTTCTTCTGAAGAAGATATAATTTTTACCAGCAAAGAGGGATTGCTAACCATGAGGGAACCCTGATCTAGAACCTAATGATAAGCGAGCTCAATAGATGTTCCCTATTTTTCATGTCATATTGAAATGCTTAATGGTAAGTTAGGTATAATTTTAATGCAGTGATTGGTAATGTGGTTTTGTTCATAATATGTGACTGTTAAAATGGCAAACATTAGATGCATGGAGATTCTTCAGATGTATTAGAGTACATTATCCACTTGATGAACTGCTGTTTTGCATTGAATGATATTGATATTCAGATTGAGCTATATCAATTGTCACTTGTGATTTATTGTTTTCATAGATTGATGGTACACACATCCATTTCCCTCCTTCTTGAGCATATGATTGAGCTCTTTTGATGACTTGAAAGTCGTTATTGTATTCATCTCTGTATGTTTTATTGACACAGATGTGCAACAGAGTTCATTCATGAATGCTTAACTGAGTCCAAAGCCCCACAAAGAGATTCAGCTCAGCAGAGGTTATTGATGCAGCTGTCAAGAGGATTGTGAGTTTGCTTAGCTTAACATTTTTATGATCAATTAATAGACTAGTTGCTTTTAAAAACTGTATTCATTTGACAGATTTCTGACTGCATTATTGGCTTTTAAATTTGATTTCTGAATAATTCAATTTATACTGACAGTTTTGAGTCCACCTAATGAAATTTTTTGAAAGTGATTTTGAATTACTTTATTCATTGTTCTTTTTGATAGTTTCATGAACATATGAAAGACTCTCCAATGTTATTATAAGATTTAGGTATTCTGTACAAAGTGGACACTTGGTAAACGGTTAAGAGTGTATATGAGGGTTGATGATTGAGTGTATGCATTAAAGAGACTATTTGGAGGCAGGAGAGAGTTGGAAAGGGCATAACAATGAGGGGTAAGATGTCTCAAACTCATCTCCAGAACTGAACACATATTCCAGTGAATAGTGGTTGGTCTTTTGAATTGGCTTGCTCTACATCGACCCACCTCACCTTCTCTGTCATGTTGGTCTGCTTCCACAGAAAGCAACCTGAACTGCATTCCATCCCCATCTACCTAGCTTAAAAATAGCCTGGGCAATAACTACTGGGTTGGAGGCCATATCTCAATGTTATTATGTGGACTGACTTGTGATCTTATCCCTGGAGGGGAGGAAATATATCTTTTGAAAGAATGTTATGAATACTTAAGCACATATAATAAAATGTACAAATGTTATCATCAGTTGTATGGTATGATTGTACAAACAAAAAGGCAAATCCTAGGAAAGGAGTCATTAGATTGAAATTTTCAAGGTATAAAGGAAGAGACTGAAACATTTTCAGTTTGGGGAGTCTAGAACCATGATGCATAGACTAAATATTAGAGCCAAATCTGTCAGGAGTGAAATTAATGAACATTTATACACAAAAGGGATGGTTGAGGTTTGTGACTCTCTTCCAGAAATACCAATCGATCCAAGAGCAATTATTAAGTTTAAATGAAAGATTAATTAATTTTTATTAACCAAAGATAATAAAGTTAATAGAGCAAGGTGCACATTTGGAATTATGCAGATTAACCATGAGCTTACTGAAGACAGGAAAAGGCTCAACAGTCTAAAGTCCTGTCCCTATGTTTCCATGTCACTAAAATATAATCTTCAATTTTCTTGTTTGTTTCTTATCAATTTGCCAACAAAGGAAATAAGATTTGATCATTTTCCATCTCAGAATTCTGAGAATCCCAATGGATCCCCTTCTAAATTTCTTTGTGACAATGAAAACAAACCAATAAATTTTGAAAGAAAAATGTGCTGAGAAAAACACAAGCTGATTGCTTTTGTGCAAAAATCCCTTTTTCAATCAATAAAACATACCCCTTATAAATCCATAGCACTGATTTTCTTTTCTAATGTGCGTTTAACTTAATACTGTCAAATGCACTTAAGAAAGTATAGCAGGGCTGTAATTTCCTATTTTATCCATTTCCCTTTTACTGACAAGGATATCATATTTGTCACCAATCATAGGCATAGTTTCCATTTCAAATTATCTTTGGAAAGAGCGTAACGATTTTTATAAAATATCGGATTTAGGTTTTGTTAACTCTTTCCCAGATGTCTTGAATATTCTAATATGGGTTATCACCTGTGTCTGTAATTTCTATTTTTCTTATTTAAATATTTTGCTTTTTAAATCGACTTTCAAAGCTGTTCCTTGTCTTCTTTGGATGTTTTATGTTCGCCGATTTAAAAACTGAGACAAATACTTAAGTCTGCCATTTTCTCACTGATGGCTCTCTTCATTCATCTATGCTCCCACCCTTTTAACTGGACTTTTAAAAATTATTTTCTTAATAAAGATTCTATTCCTTTTTATATTAACTGTTCACATTTACATTTCCACTCGGCTTTTCCAAAAAATGCAAAGAAAGAACTTATATTTACATAGCATCCTTCACAACTTCCCAAAGTGTTCCGCCACCAGTGAATTGGCTGCAATGTGTATTCATTGTTAAAAGTTGGCAAATCTAGTAGCTACAGAAACATCCTACAAACACTAAGTTAGATGAATATCCAATTAGTGCACATTGGAGATAGTAGATGTTGAGCATGACAGTGGCAGAGCTCTACACTTCTTCAAATACAATCACAGGAAATTTTACGTCCACCTGATCAGACTGACATCTCGGAAACACAGATTAACATCTCTTTCTTTCCCCCACACTTCTTCATTTTTATTTTATATTTGTCATAGTTCTTATATCAATTTACTTTTCATAGCATATTTCCACAGTTGGGTGAACAGAAATCCAAAATCTGTTCTAATCAATGGGCAATTAGAGCTTGAGGTATCAGAACATTGCAAAAGGGTAAGGTGATGTGAAATTCAACCTTACACTTGAAAGTGAGGCAAAGGCACTGGTGAGTGTTTTCCTTTTATCTGAGTTGAATTGGTTGAATCCTTTCAATTATTGCAATTGAATTTGCGCTTCACAATTGGCTTTGCTTCTCTTTTCATTGGTCAATGTAATTTAAAATCAGTCAATGTATTTCTAAAAGATTAAAACTTACTATCATCTAATGAAATGTAGAATTAATTTGATTCTAAATGGCAAAACAAAATGCTCAATGCAGACACTCTGTACTGTGTTTAGCGACAGCTAGTCCATTTTGATGGTAATTACTTCCCTTTGAGAGTCCATTGAGACTCTACTTCCAGACTGTCAAAAGTAAATACATGTACAGCCTTAAATATACCAAGATAATAGAGTATGTAATAAAGATAACATCATTAGACCATCATTTTCTTACCAAACAATGCATCATTTCAAACAGCAGTTTATTTGATGAATGCAGTCTTTCTTTACAAGCAAAAATAAATCACCTTCTTGATTAAAGAATGCTTCATCCAGTTATACATTTCCATTTATTTTCTCTTTCTTTATGTCTCTGCTTCTCTGTCCATTTATTTAACTCAAATGTTTCCTTTGAGACACCTATGTTTTGAATAACCCGGAGCAAGACAGTGCTTTACAAAAGCAAGCTGTGAGTGTGATAGTGTCAAGGTATTTCTCTATTGATGATTTCAGGGGCATGATATTTTCTATTGGACTATTGGCCTCAGACTCACTATTCACAAGAAGAAAAAATAAATAATGTAGTTATCTCTGATAAATTTCACTCCTTTGATCTTGTTCTCTTTTTGTGCTGATTTATACAGCAGCAAACGTTGAGCCCCCTGTCGTATCACTGATGAATTGGCAATTCTTGTGCTTTCGAATCTGGGGTTTGTCTCCATAGGAGCCACATTCTTGTGGTTGAGTAGTTTGTGGAGACAATGAACTATGAAAGAACAATCTCATTTTTGAACTCTATCAAGTTAATGTGGGCAGTCTCTAGACAAAGGATCTGTCTGTAATTTTTATTGGCAGCCTTGAAAGAATGTACAAGGTTATTCAGGAAGAGATGAAAATGCATTTTCTCTAAATTTACTTAACTGTGTGATAACCTTTTGCCTTCATTTATACTCTGTTTGTTTGAGATTCTGACCTCCTTTGGGTTTTAAAAGATTCTGCTGTGCTTAACACACAAGAGCTTACTGGAAAGTTCTATGAGTTGGCTTTGACTTGACAACTCTATTAATTAGCATATTTGAAAGTGATGTTCAGTCCCTATCAATATCTGTTCACATAATGGTTATTTCGGCTGAAAAATGCTGGCGCTGAAAGAAGACATTGTCAGCAATGATCTTACAAAATCCAGCACCTGCCATTTTGTCGGGGTTCTGCAGGAGGTTAATGTCAAATGAAATTCTCATAGCAGCTGTGGTCAAAAATGAATCACTTTCATCTTGCCATTTATTTTTCTTTTAGACTCACATTCAAAGTGCTCTGCATATTTCCACATTGCCGGAAAACATTACAAATCATGTCTGTCCTTGATGGGATAACTAGAGCTCTCAAATGGTATGCCCCTGTAATTGTGGTACATATGCTATTGTCACATGACATCCTGTCTGCTTTGCTCCATTAAAAAACTGTTGCATTGCGCCATCTAGTTGTTTTTGCACATCAGCTGAGTTCTGCTGGGCACACTAAAGTTGCTAGGATTTAAAAAAATGGAAATTCAAATACGTTTTTAAAAGTTTATTGGTCTCTGCAGGGATCATGACAATATTGTTTAATCATTGTTTTTTGTTTACACGAGTAAATACATTCCACATGAAGTACATATCCATAACTGGACATTCTTTGTAAAATACAGATTCCAATTATGAATCAAATTCAAAACAAAGGAACAGAAATAGACAGTGAAACTTTGTGCCAAACCATATAGACTTGGGTAAAGGATATTCTTCATCATCCTTGTCACTAATAATTCCCAAAGCATCTCCTAAAATAATAGGCCCTAAAGATGAAATGAACCAAACCACAATGCATTCTGAACCAAAGCTAATATTTTCACACAAAATAATCATTTGCCTATATTTTAAGAATGGGCCCTGAAGGCTAAATTCCATATCTTAAACAATTACTTAAATAAACAATCAAAGACATTTAACATAATACTTATGTATGGCCTGTTCTCAGAACAACTTGTGTTTATTTACTGCTTTCAATGTAGAACAAATCATTCAGAAAGTTAACAGAAGTTAATTAAGTTTTGTTAAAAAGACCAGTTATGTCTGGCATAATAAGAGAAGGTAGATGAGCAAAGAACTTCAGGAGGAACTTTTATAAATTAGGGCTGAAGCAATTGAAACCTCTTTCACTAATAGATTTAAGTAGGAGAGGTGATGCAAAGGAAACAAGGTCAGTGAACATTTGAGGGGATGTAAGATTCCAAATGTTGGTTGAAGAACTAAGGTGAGGTAAGGGCATAAAGTGATTTGTCATTAAGAATAATGTTTTTGAGCTTGTTGTAGTGGGGGACAAAAAGCCATACAGAATGAGATTAAATAAGGCTGAGTGTGAGACAAGATGTGAAGAGAGGAGCTTTGGACAATTTGGAATTTGTAGAGCATCAAAGTTGGGAAACAGGCATGAGGATCAGCAGGGTAATTATAGCAAGACGACCAATAAGCTTTTAGCAGGAAATGGATAATATTGTAAAAGTGAGCAGTCTTGCATATTAAAGTCACTTTAATTGGCAGAATGATGTGAATCTTTTCTGAATTAATCCAAAGAGTTTCGGATTTTCTGTTGGCGGTAGGATAGAATTAACAGAGGGAAGCTGTAATGTAATGGTGCACAAATGTCTTTACAGCTTAAACATAATCAATGTGCTTCCTATGTTTTCAAATGGCCAAGTTCAATATCCACTCCAACAAGTTCTCAGCATTTAATTCTTTTGCTGTCCAGGGAACAAAGAGAAATATCTCGGAAGATTTTCTTGTTGTTCATGGACACTTCTACCACAGTCTTTCCACATGTGAGCACTGATCAAACAGAAGTCTAATGCTAGAATTCAGCTGAATATTGTCTCTGGGCATTTTGGATATGAACAGGATATACAAAGGGATATTGTTATGCTTCCATCACCCTGTTATAATGGTTATAATTTGTATAGTTCTTATTTTTCCTGTTAGCATTTGTATAATCCAAGAATGTTTTGGGAGCAGTCCCAATATTAACAGATGGGGAACTGTGTCATCTGAGTTGCTCGCAAACTGCTTTCAGGACAGACCTCCATCCAGGGAGCCTGAGATTCCATCAGAAACAGACTGGATACTTAATTATCTAAAGCAAAGGATGGGATTTTCTACTTGACCTTCTAAATGTGTGACGATGAATCTAAGGCCGAGAGGACCAACTCATTGCCGCCAATGGGTAACCCTACCAGATCAAGTGTCAATCATGCCATTCAGCAGTCCCCCTGACCTATCCGGATCCATGGCCAAGGATGTCCTGAGACTGCTGGCCAATTGGACGCTTGAGTGACTTGGCAATGACCCAAACTATTAGATGCACGGCTGCCGTGAAGACCAGTTAGAAGGTCAATCTTTTCTGGAAGGGTTAAGAGGATGAAGGCCATCTCCCCTACCGCTATCCATCTGCCCAATTCCTCCAATGGGGTAAATAGATACCCAACCCATCTCTGATATTGTAGGCAGCCTACCCTGCTTACTCTGACAAGAAGTCAATTGCTTTTCTCGCAAGTATTGAACTGGTGACAGGTTGAGCCCCTTAAGTTGTTGTTAACTGACCAGCTAAGAGTCTTACTTGTTGATGGGTCATTGACCATGGAGCATCCTGCTCCGAAGTTAACTGCTGAAGTGGCAGGAGGGGCTCAGTTATCTCTCTGGTGCCAACGCACCCAAACATTTCACATTCCTGCCACCTGCCCCACCACTTCTTGATTTTGATTCTAAAGTTGTGGCCAAATATAAAAATACCTCTTCAAGTGTTCCGTTAAGATAGAAGGCAGCATAAACAAAAATAGTACGCTCTTTTAAATGGAGGGCAATAAAGAGCAGAGAACAATACTGCACTATTCTCTGTTTATTTTAATCATATGTATTGTTAGATCTCAGTGCCTGAAATCACTCAAAGTCTTTGCAAAGATTTTCAATCTATTTTCTCTCAGAATCATAGAATGACAGAAAGGCTGCAGCACAAAAAGAGACCATTTGGTCCATGGAATCTGTTTTAGCTGCCTGCAAGAACAATTCAAGTAGTTCCACTCCCTCACAATTTCCCTTGCAAGACTTCATTTATTTTTAGTATCTTCACATGTTTATCCAGTTCCCTTTGAGAGCCATGATTGAATCAACCTCCACCACATGCACAGACAGTGCATTCCAGACCCTAATCACTTAATGCCACCTACTAAATACAAAATTCTCATGTCACATTTGATTCTATTTCCAATCACTCAAACTCGGTGTCTTCTTGTTCTTAATAGGAACAGTATCTCTCTATCAACTCTGTTTACATCTCTCCTGATCTTAAGCACCTCTATCCTTTGTCGCCTCAACTGTTCCTTTTCTGAGAATAGATCATAATCCTCCAATCAATCTTCATGACTGAGACCATTCTTATAAATCTTACTTGTTTTTTCTAATGCCCACAAATCCTTTGTAACTTGTGGACCCTTGAGCTGGACACAAAACTTCAGACAAGGCTGAACTGTTGATTGTTGCTGCTAAATAACTCAGTCAAATATTGATCTGACAATTGTATGGTGGTTTTGTTGGAAAGATCACCTTTTATCTGCTGCATTTTTGGTGAAAGTGTTGTCTGATTGTATATCCAGGGAGTTAAAAGGTTGTTTTGAAGATGATGGTTCTATTGGATGATAATGATGCAACACGAGTAATGAAACTGAAAAATAATCTGTTTGCTATTGTTGGACTACCATGCAAAATTCTTATCTTGAATACATTCACTGATAATCGTGACAGTGAAATGCAATGAATCTGGACATGATGGAACAAACATAATGCGCAGCAAGTTCACACAATACATAACATTTATGTACATATTGACACATATTTCCCTTTTCAATTTCGTAACAGAATCCTTGAGAGTCACTGTGGAGTCAATCAAGATTCTGTTTTGGCACTGACACTCTTTGATGTATTTTTCTCTTTGTTCCTGTCTTTTTCCTTTAGGTCATTTATAGAGGATGACAGACCAGACTTTTGAAAAGCCACTTAGCGTGCCTTGCCTGTGATGCAAGAAAACAATGCATCAAATCTTCATCAGGAATTTATTCTACACTGATGATGCCACAGTAGGATTCCATATCAAAGGACCTAATCAACAGAAAATGGTCAAACTTTCTAATCCTGGTCAAGAATTTAATTGTTGTTTGGCAACAAAAAGACAAAGATTGTGGTCCAGGATGTTTCCACACTGCTATCTATCAGTATTGATAGTGTGATAGACCAAAGGAGCAGAAGGGGACCATTCAGCCCATTGAGTCTGCTCGAACTTTCAATGAGTTCAGGGCTTGAAATAACTCTACAGAGGCCGATATCCTGTCACCAAGCCACCCTTTATTTACAGCAAACAGTACTTGATTATAGTACTGCCTCATACAGAGTCAGGCGCCAGAGTGTCAGCATCCCTGACATTCAACCTTTTTATGTCACCCAGGGCTCCCTGATTGGACCAGATTAACAGCTCCAATCAGGGAAATCATATCGTATAAGGTCAGCTGGCTGACCTCATTACAATCACTATATGGCTGATCTGATATTCCTCAACTTCATTTTCCTGCCATTTCCCCTTCTATTTCCTTATTAATTAAAATCTGTCTGTTTCAGCCTTGAATATACTTAATGACCTGCCTTCAACAGCTCTCTGCGGTAAAAGAAAATTCCACAGATGCTGGATGTTATTGATTGCTTCACGTATGTAAATTTCATAATCATCAGCAATAATCTCTCAGTTAATGCTGAAATCAACACACACTTCACAAAAACCTCACCTGTTATTTCCAACCTGAATGAGAGAGTGTGCAACACTGGAAACCTGACCAAGAACATCAACTGGGAGTCTTACCAAACCTCAGTGCAGGCCTTTATAATGGTGAGTACCTGGATAATATATGCTAAGCTAGAGAAAAGAATGAATAGTCTCTACCTTCATTGTCTCAGATACATCTTTGTCATCTCTTAGCAGAACAAGGTCACTAACTCAGAGGTCCTGGAACTAATTCTATCAATATGTTCTCATTGCTAAGCAAACAACATCTGCCCTAGCTGGCCATGGTCATTAGATGGATGATAGTTTTTGGGTACCATTACAACCATCTGTACAATGTACAGGCCATAGTCATCCTTACCTCATCTACAAGGACATATGCAAGCAAAATTATGAAGGTGACAGACTTAGACATTAACAACTGGGAGAAAATTACTGACAGCAATGGCTTCTGGAGGTTGACTGTTTGGAAGGGTATTAAAGAAGACTTAACCTAACTTCCTTAGGCACTGTAAAATTCCAGCCAGCTCTTTGAGATGAAATGGATCAATATCTTCTCTCCACATTTTAAGAAGCAGGTTGATGATTTTTATCTTCTAGAATTGTTTGTTTTAATTGTATGATTTTGCCATTGTCAAAGTGCATCTCCTATATCTAATTGCTGATCACAAACTAAAACCTCTTTCACTGTGCCTAACCCTAACCCCGACCCTAACCCAAACTTATTTTAATAATGAAAAAAACTGATTGTTAATGGTTTTGTTAGGAAGTTGAGGATATACATTTTGTGAATATACCATGTGGGTATATATTATGTAAAACTGTGCCAAATTTTGGTCCCAACATTACACTAACATTGAGCTTCTTGCACTAAAATTAATGAAGGAGGAAAACACCTTACATATGTTCAGAAATTCAAAATCTTGTAATCTTTAAGGTATTTCAAAAAATTTAGTTTGGCTCATGTCACTAAAATGAATGCTACATTTAGTCATTTATTTGAATTTCAGTTATGCTCTTCATCAAGAAAATTATTCATTTGAAAATAGGAATAAACAACAACATTTATAGCATGGGTTTACGTCTTTATACTGCTAACCAAAATAGGATATCTAAGTCTTTTTTGATTATATACTTCTTTGTGTCTAACATCAACTGCTCTTACATCAGCTCTTACAGCTTCCATGCTGGACAAATGTGGCAGTTATTGGTAGGAGGATTTTACCACTATTCCATTTTCCATGACTGGGTCTAAGGACCTGTTCAGTTAACAGTAGTAAAGGGACAACTTCTAGTCAGTCTTATCAAGAAGACTCTTGTTTTAGCAAGGATTTAATTGATTGTATGGTAGCAATTAGGTACAAGATACATTAGCTAGTTGGACGTTGTTACAAAGGCTATTGGGAGACACAGATTGCACATCTGTCCCCCTTTGAGACCCTGAGATCAAGAGCACATGAATGATCAGATTGGGTGGAGCTTAATGCAGTTTCCAATATTAACCCTTTCTGAATCATTACCTCATACAATATTATGTCCAAACCTTTTTTCTCCCATAGTAAATATTTGAACATTAGTGTATATAATTTCTTTTACTACTGTCCCATTTCTGCCCCATATCTCTGATGTTACAAATTCAGGCTGTCTGAAAAATTCACAATTCTCCCAGAATGCATTCTCTTCAGACTTGGAAGATTGGTAAGTCTTTGATTTGAAGACTGTTGACCATAATTCTGAATTGACCGTGATACTGATATGACCATGATTCTGATATTGACGTGACTCTGATGTTGACCTCGCATTGTCTGTGTAACATCATTATTAACTGTTCCTTTTAGGTCCACCCCAATCAATTGTCAATGATCAATCTTTCCACAATGACACAAGGTTACTGTGATTCCTCTGTTCAACTCCCTCAGCTGATAGGACAAAATATAATCATTGCTGTCCACTGTTCTTGAAGTTTGTACCATTCCTGTTTAAGTCCCTTGTCCATACCTGTTATCTTGGACCCAATTGTGGCAACTATGTGCCAGGTGACATATTTTAGTGCTCTCAGTGACACTGCTCCTTCTTACAAATATCATCGTAATCCTTGTTCACTTAACAGTGGAGTCAACCTCCTTGATAGTAGGAGTTGAGTCTTCAGTTTTCTAAGCATCAGTAATTCTGATGGTGATATGCCACACTGTAGTTAGGTGGACTAGCAGTTTGACAGTGTTGTATAAATGTTAGTATTTTTCTTCAAAAGGAATTGAACCATCTGGACTCCACACTCAGCTTCCAAATTTCTCTGGTGGGTATCTCGTTGATCTTGTTACATGTTAAAATCCAGAACTAGATAGAAATTGGCTGAAAGATTTCTACATACAATAGATATTTCATGTCAGACCTTAACAACTGCTTCTGCGGTGGTAGCATGTAACCTTTTCATCTTAGTCCACTGAGAAGTTTAGTCAACAGCAACAAGATAAGACAATCTGTCAAACATAAATAGGCCTGTTCCCACTTAGGATATGTCTGTGATTCTTCCTGGTGCCTTCTTTCAATCTGTATAGCTTTCTCCAAAGTCAACTATTCTTTTGACTAGAAGGAATATGATGAGTCATCCTTAATTCCAACAACAATTTTGTATTTTATGACTTCTGATTTAAAGGCTCCATATTTACTGTTTTCCATCAAACTATAGAAAACATTATGAGAGAGAAATAGAGGTTTGTGGCACCTTCGGCCCATGAGGTCTATACTAATGAACATCAACCTGTACCACCCTTACAAACAGGGAATTCCAAAGTCCCAATACTCTCTGAGTGAAAAAAAATTCTCACATCCCCATCAACCTCCTGCCCCTTGCCTTAAATTGATGTCCCTTAGTCATTGATTCCTCCACCAACAGGAAACTTTCCTTCCTGTCTATTTCACACATCTCAATCATGTCCCTCCTCAGTCTCATCTGCTCCAAGGAAACAACCCTAGTCTATCCAATTTCTCTTCATGACTAAAACTCTCCAGCCCAAGCAACATGCTGGTAAATCTCCTTTACACCCTTGCCAGTGCAATCACATCCCTTCTATAATGTGGATTTGGGGAGTTGTACAGGGCCTTGCTGAGACCACACTTGGAATATTGTGTGCAATTTTGATATTCTTTTCTGTGGAAGGATGCTCTTGCTCTCAAGGGAGTGCAGTGTAAGTTTACCAGGCTGATTCCGGGCATGGCGGGTTTGATGTGTGAGGACCAATTGACTAAGTTGGGATTGTTTTTGCTAGAGTTCAGCTGAATGATAGGGGATCTCATACAGATTTATAAAATTCTAACAGGACTGGACAGGGTAGATGCAGGGAGGATGTTCCCAAAGATGGCTGTGTCCAGAACCAGGGGTCACAGTATGAGGATTCAGGGTAGACGATTTAGGACCGAGATGAGGAGACATTTCTTCACCCAAAGGGCGGTGAGCCTGTGGAATTCATTACCACAGGAAATAGTTGATGCCAAAGCATTGAATGTACTCAAAAGACGATTCGACACAGCACTTGGGTTGAATGGCATCAAAAGTTATGGCGAGAAAGCAGGATTAGGCTATTGAGTTGGATGATCAGCCATAATTGTGAAGAATGGTGGAGCAGGCTCGAAGGGCCAAATGGCCACCTCCTGCTCCTATCTTCTATGTTTCCATGTTTCTATTACACACAATGCTCTAGCTGTGGCTTAACCAATTTTTTATATGATATCATTTTATATGGTCCCCTGGATGCTGAACCCCTTTGTTAAATCCTGCTCTTTGAAGAATTTTATTTGGATTTATTATGTTTGAGTAAATGTCAGAAGCTTATAGAAGTTCAAAAGTATCTGTACCTTCTTTTGTGTTCCGGTAATTTATAACATTACTATCAACAGGTCCTATTGAATACAATAGTGGATTTATTTGATCACATTGTATTTACATTCGAAGCAATTCTGTATCTTAAGAATTGCTTTCTTCAGAATGTCCAATCCTGTGTTCTATTTGGTCCATCTGTGATATTAAATCTTGCAGGCAGTATTATTTCTCCTGCCATGTCTTCCTAACATTGTTTTTCTACAACCAGTAATCCTCTACAGATTATGCTTCCTGTTGGAACCTGTGACTGCCAGATGTGACTAGTCTTTATGTTCTTTCTAGCCTGCACTGCTTTTTGTGTGATTTTCTAAGCTCTTTTCTTACCAGGTTTGAGAAGATGCTTTAGCATGGAATGTTGTTTCTCCATGATCATCTTTCCATGAGTTCCCACTGATTGCTTGTTTGTTCAAACACATGCAACTGCTGACTGTCTGCATGACTAGTTCTTAAAGTGGTAAATTCTTTATAACTGCAAACTCATTTGGTCTTCCAAGACTAATGATTTATTTTCACTTCTGTGTCATGTGAGAGAAAACAACAATGTCCACCAGTGATCACCATGTGTTTGTGGGTAGAGGGATGCTATGACCATTCTTCTTTCCTTGACTGAGTTTATGGTGCAATTGGATTCAACGTAGCAGAGGTGCCACTACAATTAAGTGTTAAGACGAAGCTGTTGTCTTAAGATGTAATTTATTACATGATAACAAGTGGTTACAAGCTACATGAGAAGCTAGACATTTTAACCGTTCGTAGGCAAAGAACACATCCCTGTTCCATATGAGATCATGAGTTATTCTCCTCATTTATAAACTCAAAACTGCCTGACATCATCAGATGGGATCAAGTTGAATGAAATCGCTGATATTGACTTTTTCAAAACCATCACCTTATACAATAACTAATGCTACCTCAAACCTACAAAAAGTTTTGTCGCCAGCTCCTACCTCAACCACCATTATGGCTTCTCCCATGAATTTGCTAAATTGGTTCAGCTTTGTGCTCACCCACTGAGCTACAAATAACAGATTAATTTGGTCACAGTATATAATAAAATTATCTGAACCTGTAGAGATCCAATAGTCCAGCAGAGAAGTCTGTAGATGTTTTCAGCTCTTGGGAACAATGTGTTTTTTTTCACTGGATCCTGTCTCCCGGAATGAGGAGAAAGCAGGGAGACAGAATCTTCCAGTCCTTCTTGTTACCTATCCATGTTCTTTCTTTCTGCTCGACTGCTCAAAAATAGTTACTGAAATATGATTCATTGGATATTCTCAAGACTGGCTCCATCAAGTTGACTAAATGGTAGGCTAGGCTTTCTTCTTTCAATGTGCGAAATTACTGCACAAGTGTGAATTCTAACAGGAGGTGCAAATTTTTTGACACTGACTCTGGTTCCTGGTGTTGATGTTTTTACATAATGTGGTAGTTTCAGTGCAGCAAGTTTAATTTGTTCCACATGGATGTCCTAGACCTGTCTCAATCTGTGGTCAAGTAACCATGGCAAACTTTTTACATCAGTATTTGTCCATTCTTAAAGCAATTTTAATCCAAGGGCTCGGATAAAGCAATCAGATGATGGACATTAAAATTTGATCATATATACTATGATAGTATATATCATAGTTGTCAAGGTAGATACATTACAGCAACATATTACTCATTTTTTAAATTACACATCTATCTATCTGACATTATCTTCCAAAATTCACACAAATTCCAATATGTTTAACATTGCATTACTTCCTATTATGACTGATTGTAGTGTTAACATTTATGACATATTTTAAATATCTCTTAGACATTAAATGTCATGTAAACGTTTTTGGAAATAACTTCAAATCAGTTTATTCAGGAAAAGTATAACATCATTTTCATTTTGTCCACTATTAACTCTATGCACATATACTAGATAGACATCATGGCACTTAATGAACAAGAATAATATGCTCAAATCTTAGTACTATAACTAATAGAGGTTTATGATGAAATTGGTGAGAATGTTATTTTCTTTAGAAAGTCATAGTTTAGGCAATTAAGATTAATAGTTGCATATTTGAATAAAGAAGGGCAAACTAAAATACCACAACACAAATTCAAAC